CTTTCTCTTGCGCTCTCTCACTCATTCTTTCTCTTGGCGCTTCTCTCATTCTTTCTCTTGCGCTCTCTCTCTATTTATCCCTATCTCTGTATATATTATCGTCTTCCATCTCTCCTCTCTCTCTCTTCCTGCTTCTTCTATCCTCTCTCTCCTCTCTTTATCTCCTCTTTATATCCCCTCTCCTATCTCCCTCCCTCTCTATCCCCCACTCTCTTTTTCTTTCTTTCTCTCTTTCTTTATCTCTCTCTCTCCCTCTCTCGCACACACACGCACATATGCGCGCGCGCGCGCGCGCGCTCGCTTTCTTGCACCGCTCTGTTACTCTTTCTCTCTCTTCTCTCTCTTCTCTCTCTCTCTTCTCCTCTCTCTTCTCTCTCTCTCTCTCTCTCTCTCTCTCTCTCTCTCTCTCCCCTCTCCCTCTTTTACTCACTCTCTTCTCTTCTCACTTCTCTCTCTCTCCTCCTCCTCCTCTCCTCTCTCTCTCTGCTCTCTCTCTCTTCTCTCTCTCTCTCTCTCTCTCTCTCTCTCTCCTCTCTCTCTCTCTCTCCTCTCTCTCCTCTCTCTCTCTCTCTCTCTCTCCTCTCTCTCTCTCTCTCTCTCTCTCTCTCTCTTCTCTCTTCTTCTTCTCTTCTTCTTCTTTTCTCTCTTCTTCTCTTCTCTCCCTCTCCCACTCACCCCCCACTCTTTCTCTCTCTCTCTCTCTCTCTCTCTCTCTCTCTCTCTCTCTCTCTCTCTCTCTCTCTCTCTCTCTCTCTCTCCTCTCTCTCTCTATCTATCTCTCTCTCTCCTCTCTCTCCTCTCTCCTCTCTCTCTTCTCCTCTCTCTCTTTCTCTATCTCTCTCTCTCTCTCTCTCTCTCTCTCTCTCTCTCTCTCTCTCTCCTCTCTCTCTCTCTCCTCTCTCTCTCTCTCTCTCTCTCTCTCTCTCTCTCTCTCCTCTCTCTCTCTCTCTCTCTCTCTCTCTCTCTCTCTCTCTCTCTCTCTCTCTCTCTCTCCTCTCTCTCTTCCTCTCTTCTCCTCTCTCTCTCTCTCTCTCTCCTCGCTCTCTCTCTCTCTCTCCTCTCTCTCCTCTCCTCTCTCCTCTCCTCTCCTCTCCTCTCCTCTCCTCTCCTCCCTCTCCTCTCTCTCTCTCTCTCTCTCTCTCTCTTCTCTCTCTCTCTTCTCTCTTCTCTCTTCTCTCTCTCTCTCCTCTCTCCCACCCACCCCCACCCTTCTCTCTCTTCTCTCTCTCTCTCTCTCTCTCTCTCTCCTCTCTCTCTCTCTCTCTCTCTCCTCTCTCTCTCTCTCTCTCTCTCTCTCTCTCTCTCCAAGGACCCACTCGGTAAGAATCAATCAGCAAAAAACATCTCATACCTCTTGTGTTCTGCAAGGATCTATTTAGGTCCAATCCTATTTTACAGTTTACGTAAATTATTTTATCAATCAATATAGCCCATAACTGCCATTCAAGTTGCAGTGTACGCCCAAGATTCAGTTTATTCATATGACTCAGTAACACTTAATTCATTAATAAGAAACACCCAACATACTCTTACACAAGCAAAAATATATTTGGACACTAATTGCCCTTAAACTAAATCCCTATAAACTAAAATTCCCAATGACACATAGCCAAAACATAGCTAAAATTCCCAATGACACAACCATAGACTTTGAAGATTGTTCTATCAAACCAAACACCAGTGAAAAATCTAAAAGTATTCTTAAATTTATGACATTTGAACCACACGTTGACAAAATACACAGGGAAGTAATGGGCATACTGGTATATCTTAATCAACAAGACAACCGTAAAGGGCAGCTCTGACCGCTCTGTTAATGGCCTGGATATTCTCAGAGTCAAGACAGACAAGATTACATCCGTCTACAAGCTACCCACTGTCCAATTCAAGGGGCACCAACACTTCCCTCTCAATGATGGCACACACCTGGGCATCGGTGACTTTGCCAGCACCAACTGGGGTTACGGCAACGCCAACACCAAGGCGAACTTGAGAGAGAGAGAACGAGAACGAGTAACGAGTCCCATCACAGAGCCATCACTGTGCATCTTGCTCCTGTCGTCAACCCTTTTACCAACAGAAAGCTACAACCAAGACCCAACTACCAGAAAGCCAAATGGAAGCTTTCACATAGGACCTAGAAGAGACTCTTTCAAACAACTAGTGTGGAGAATCGCGAAGATAAACATCCCTGATCTGTCGAATACCAGCAAAGAAATCTAACCAGCTGAAGAAACCAATGAATTGGAGACATCTACTTGCATCCCTCAATGACAAAAGAAAGGAATGGGGACAAGAAATCATTGGTGGACTGGATATGCCTCAAAACAGTAAGATGGCATGGAAGACCACCAAAAAGCCCAACTCTGACAAGGAGCCAGACCAACAACACATCACAACGCTTTACCAAGTTGCAGGACAACTGCTGGTCAGTGGAGAACCTCTCAACAAGGAACACAACTACATGAAAAAGATGAAAGAAATGACACATCCTTGAGGAAAGCGATGAAATCTTACCCTTCTCTCATGAAGAGCTGCATGCTGGGCTGAAATACCTTAAATCTGGTAAAGCACCAACACAGAGATGATCAGGCATTTTGGTGACAAGGTCCTATTTCGGCTACTATAGCGGTTTAACAAATGCGCTCATGGCACATACCTACCGAAGATCTGGCGACCACCAAACAGAGACCCAAACCTACCAAAAAGTTACCTACCTATATCACTCCTCTGCATACTCTTTAAGTGGTATGAATTACTGAACATGGCCTCAGGGATCAACACTAGCCCCAATTCTCTTCAACATCTACACAAATGATCAGCCCACCTTCAGCCTTGCAGATGCTTTGATCCTGTTAGGGTACTATAGATGCTGGTTTCTGATCGCCAACCCCGGGAAGACCAGGTCTGTGCAACAAGAAAACTCAGAATCACGTGGGAACGTAAAGAACTTCAAAACACCCTACACCCAGCGTCACCCTTGACAGCACTCTGTTCTTCAAAGAGCAAGTCACCAAGTTTGGAAGGTGTCCGCTCGCAACCTCCTTTCCAACCTTGCCAGCTCCAGTTGGGGAGTGGATCTTAACACCCAAGCAGACAGCATTGGATTTATACTACTCCACTTCTGAGTACTGTGCTGCATTATATGGGAGGTCATGTGGTTGATGTGGAGCTGAACAGAACCTGCCGCACCCTCACAGGTAACCTAAAGGCCAACTCCTTGCTAACCCTAAACACACTGGCATCCGGCGAG